TTTCCTCGGGAAGGTGAAAGTTAAATTTCTCCGTCAAACTTCATTTGGGAACGATGTAAAGTTTTTCTCCTTATACAAATTAATGTTCTCTATCGAACTACGCTAGAATCAACTCTTCATATCAAAACATGAAGTTTTTATTGAAATTTTAAAAATAGGGCAAAAAACCCGAAAAAAAATTAAAATTTTTTTTTATCAAAAACTATAAGTCCGGGAACTGAAAGCTTTGTTGAGACGTATACTTCGAAATGTCCTCCACAAACTGCTGGAAAAAAACGGGTGGGGGGGACCCCCCCTTAATATCGAATGGAACCGACTCAGGATTCAAACATGTTGCTCCGAGTCGAATCAAACCGAGTCAGGATTTCCTGATTCGTTTCGAGCTCTGATATGCAGCAATACAAAATATTGGGTTTCAATATTATTGTATGCGCTGTATATTGAGATCCATAATATGGTCACCCGATATATTGAGTTTTCATAATATTACTAGGTACTACTTTTACAGTGTACATGCATGCGCTATATTCCGTTTTGGATAGAAATATAAGTCAATTAGGCATACACCAATTAATGCTCGATGTTAGGGCATTCAGCAAAGTCGTTCCGCATCAGTTATAAACACTTGGAGCTGTCGAGTGTCTCACTTTGTAAGAAAATGTTTGCCCTACCAAACTGAAGTGGTAGAAAAATTTTAATGTTATATATAGAGAGAAAGTATGATAAATCGAAAACGCACTAAAATCGCAGGAAAACAGTCGATTAGTCGATTAGTTTTGAATGCTTGTATTTCTGTCACAGATAATACTAAATTCTTATTTCGACTTCACTGAATGCCCTAACATCGATTATTAATTGGTGTATACCTGATTTAGATCAGGATAATATTTGTATCCTACTGGAGATATATAGGTCGATCCGGACATGCTTCCTTACGTTTTTATGAATTTAAATGATACTAACATTAAAAAGTTGAAATCCAGTATATTATGAAACCCAATATTATTAGTCCCAGTATATTGGGTAAGCACTATTATTGATATCCAGAATTTTGAGTATAAAATAATACTGTGACCCAGTATTGGATACCCAGTAATATTGTACAATATGTTAAATAATGATTGGTATTGGTGCATGCCTAGACGTGTTGTCTTCAACTCACCTAGAACAAAAAAGGATAAAAAGAATGAAATGTGATATACTTTAGTCAGTGAACTCCACTCATATTTCAGCAGAGATAAATTGTGATGAGAAATTGAAAAACATTTAGTTCCTGAATGTACTTCCTCGCTAACAAAGGATAAATAAAAAAAACAGAGTCAGTAGTCAAGCAATAACATTCTTACTATTAAACGGCAACAATATAAATAAGAACATTAGTATAAGTGCGGCTGAAATACCCTGAACTTTATTTAACATAATTAGGAGTTTGTTGAAAAAATAGAATAATTATTAAAATACAAATTTCCAACCTATTTGTACGGTTATTATCAAGTGAATATCCCGTGCATAATATTACAGTGAGGTACAAACAAGACTTAGTTTTGTTTTTACTATTTATACGACATACTTTTTTAATAAACTCCGAATTATGTTGAATAAAGTTAAGGATATTTCGGCAGCAATCGCACTAATAGCCAAGCACATTTAAAGTTTTTTTTCGCTTAAAGTTCCGAAGTTGGGAAAAATATTAACTAATAGGTCTGAGAAAATCTTCGAAAATGCCTTCCATTTACCATGTTTAGCGATATGTCCGCAGTAACACAACTCGGTACATTATACTAATAGCTCCTGTTCTTTACAGCATGTTATTATAATCTAATGATTTAGGACTTTAACTCGTTCATCTGGACGAACTCAGTATACACCTGGTTATTATAAAAATTTGCATAATCATAATACTAAGTATACAAATCAAATTAATATAACATCAGTACCTGTTGGTCGTCGTAATGAAAATGGTTTATCTAGTATTAGTAAAAAAATACAATTGGCATTAGCACGTTCAAGTGGAAAAAGGAATGAGGCTCCTATCGCGCTGTTTTAACAGGAAAGGAATTTGAACGTTTAAAACAATTAGGGGTAGGTCTTTCGAATAAAGAAGGTTTTTGTTTTCTCAAGCCTATTTTATCGAAATTTTATGGTAGCTTTTTTTTACTCGAGCAAAAATAATATTTTTGCTCGTTTTTTGAGACTAGTCGCGCTACAGAATGAATAATTCATTTAAAAGTTTACAGTTTTTCGCAATCATTCAGTCAGCTTTTTTTGAGATTCACTAAGGTTTGATGTCGTTCTATAGAAGAAGACTTTGTGTTTATTTATCGATTATCCTCTTCCGGTATTCTTGCGGTTATTTGGTTGTAGTATACTTTTTCTGATCAGTAGATAATGAAACGTTGAATGTAGGAAAAGAGAAACTATGTTAACTTTTTGACTCTCGCTTTTTCGGGAAAACACAAAATGGTTAAATGGTGAAAAATGATATCGAAAAGCGACTCCAGACTAAAATCAACCTGCACCACTTTGAATCTCCGATAATATAATGAAGAAAAATGTTGTCGACAAAAGCAGCATTTGGAAAAACTCGATCTAGTTCTCTTTTCTGACGCTCTAAGAATTCGCATTCTCTCAACTGCTTGTTATATATGTATGCTTATAAAAATATACAATTTGAAAAAAAATCTTCAACTAATGTGCTCAGAGTTTTGGGATCTTAGATGTTTTTCGATTGACCTGACTAAAATCCCTTCATAAAAAGTTCTCTTTTAACATATTTATTTTAGTTTGGTGGAAAATATAAATCAATACAACCGATTGAAAATGATCTTACGCTAGTAAAATCAATTAATTATAAAAATATAAGAATATTAGATCATGAGGACATTCAAATTAATATTCATCGGCGTCAAGGACCAGTGATAATGGACGCTAACAATAATAATAAAAAAATAAAATGCATGCCATCATTTACATTGAACGTTAGATGGGCAACAACAATACGACGACCATGATATGTTTTTTTCTTTTGTTTTTATTTATCTAAAAATGTTTTACCTGATTCTACTGCTCCATTTCTACTTGCTATAACTGGCCATGTTCCACAAGCGGATATGTTTTGTTTCGATGGTTTACCGAGATTGCCAAATTTACATCTGATGAACTGAACAGGTCTAGAGTGATAGTATCTCGAATACCTGAGTACACGTGTTTTTTGAAACTGGAAGTGCCGCAGTTTCATCATTATATCTATAGTTTATTTTTTCTAAGTTCTAAATTTTGACAAGCAAGAATTATCAGTATAGTCAGATAGATTTAAAGCGCTATTTACTCTAATATGAAACAATAGCAATGATGTATAGCGTAAAACCGTTTCCTTGGGGGATTCCAACTCTTTCGTAAAAAATGAAGCCAAGGAGTGCAGAATGTATTTCAGAATTTGGGTTTATGATGCAAGTGAGAGTTTTTCAGATAAAATATTTCTCTTTAAGAAACAGCATTTTATCCGTTCTGAAACAAGTAATTGTACAAATGTAGAATATGTATAATACTCGTTAAACAAACTGATAACAAACTAAAATATATAATTTCTTAAAAAATAAACAATTTCTTTTGCTTAACAAAATAAGAAAGTTGGTTTCCTACTTGGATTTAAAACTCTGATGCGTTATTGTAATCACAAACCGTAGTGTGGCTGATAATTCTTGTGCTTCACAATAGATTAACAACAGAAAGTACAAGAAAATTTTTAGTTTTTTGAAGTTACCGTTCTGGAATATACGTGTTTGAAATACGCAGAAACGGACACTAAAGATACCAGAAACAGAGTGAAATATTTGTTTTAACCCTTTGAGTCTGAAATTATTTTTGCTTGATTGAATGTAATCCGTAATTCCCAAGTTTCTCCATCAGAACTCAACTTTTTTGCAATATAGATATCTTATTCAGAATTAGAATGGAAAAACGAATCGACTGATGTGTATCTCTATCCTATTCGAATACTTACAACATACAACATTTTTTGAATTTGCACGTTGAAAAATCATCGAGATTTTCATCCAAAACTCAAAATCACCTTAAAATTTTGAAATAGAGATCAATCAACTCAGTTTTTGATCCTGATTCCAAAAATGAATTTTTATTAATAGAAGTTGAATTCTGATCGAGAAAATTGAAAACTATGGGCCGAATTTCGACTTTTCGCACTGATTTAGAAAAAGTGAATTTTTTCACCAATGAAACAAAATTTGAAAAAAAGCTAGTTATACTTTTGAAGCCGATACTTCAGCAAATATAATGGGCTGTAAATTATTGTTCCAGCCCTTAAGAAAAGAATGGAAATGAAGACTTATATGATTGTTAGGTAAATTAAATATATCTGATTTAATAAAATCGTTTTCTCCTAATTTATTTTACAGACAGTGCCTCATATTATTTCATCACCTGCTATTAATTAGCTAATTCTCGATTGCTTCATTCCGAGAGATTATGTACTATTTTTTATAAAGTATGTTGTGAAAAATAATTATAAAACATGTGTAGCACTTTTGCTACTACCGGACTCAAAGGGTTAGAGAGAACAAAGAAACTTTTCATAATGAAAGGAAACAGCTTTTCTGTGATAGATGAGTACAAGATGACTTGTAATTGATAAAGTTCACCAAAATAAGTTGGCAATAGTGTTAGAGAGAAGGGCCGAGAAAGTCGTCTAATACACTTACTATACATTACTGTTCAAAAAGAAATAAATCAAAACGGTAAATGATGCGAGAATATCGAAAAATAAGCGCTTCAATTTTTGATTCCGTACTTATTCTTCGTTTGGAATCCTTTTTCGTTTTAATACTCTTTGTTATTGAAATATCATTACTCAATCCAGGTTGGTATTTCTTAAAATAGATCATCATATCAAGCGAAAATACTTCTCATTACTCTTTTTTAATTGATGAGCTTTCTCTCAAACTGAGGATAACACAAGAATTTATTTAGAACAAACAACTATGCAGGAGCGAAAATAAGTAATTAGAGCTATTTAGCGCCAAATTCGGACTTGGTGTGCGCGCTCGAGCCTGTTTCTCTCGCATTTGGCGCGAGAAATATAATTAGAACTTTTGTCCTTTAGTACTATGCACGAAATTCTACTTTTTTTGTGTTAGTTCTGAGTAAGCAAGCGCTCTAGTATAATTTTAGGCATATCGGCCATCTTGAATTTCCATTGGCTGGCATACGTAACGAATAAAATAAATGTATGTCGACACGAGCGCTCTATAAATAAATTAGCAGGATCGGAGCTGAGCATTTCAGTATAGTAAGAGAAAAATATTCTGAATCGAACTGTCGGTTCAGATTTTCCACACCGGCTCGCGGGCTGGGGTCCCATATCCAATATGATTCACATCACCCAGGTCGAAGAAAATGACCTTAAATAGAATCATTGAATGCTCATCTGATGATCGTGAATGACGTATAAATGAATCATGTTTAGATCATTTATGATCATAACTAGCTCATTTTAAGGTTATTTATTGTCACATATCTGGCACATAATAAGGTCATTTTTTGATGAGCTAA